TCTTTTATAACCTAACACGGAGATTGGCATACTACAACTTCTGCCGTACACAGTCGCACAGACCAACCCTGCACAGCGCGGCAGGAGACCATGCAAAGCGTGAACACCAAGAGGGCATCACTGCAACCGTTTGGGGATGGCCAACCACAGAGCACCACGCAGGCAACAGCAAAGAAAGAGGGCTCAGTAAAGGACACAGAGAAGAAGAGAGAACGCAGGCCCTGCTGCATGTGGAATGACTAACAAAGGATAACGTCACAGGGAGATTTTCAGAAGGAAAGAGCAGTTGACAGTTTCAGATGCTAAAAAGTCCAAGAGAGGAGCTGAGTGAGCTGAATGAGCACAGAAATTTGGCCACTGGATCCGGTGGTCAGCTGCCAGGCCAGCACGATCACCGGGATGTGGAAGCAGGAAGGATCCACATTTTAGTAAAAAGACAAGTAAACAGAAAATAAAGAAATGCAGGGAGGGAGGGGTAAAATTAGACCACGGTCAGAAGTCTGAGATGGCGATGGGAGGAGAGGCCATGAAGGGAAAGGCAGTGTCTTCAAGGAAAGCTTCGCCCTTGGCTACAGGCCAGGACAGGGCAGAGGTGGAAGAAGCAGAAGACGTGGACCCCAGGTCCCAGGGGACATAAGAGGAAGCACAAGCACGAGGATTAACCCCTCTTCCTGCACTGGAAGGAAAGGACAAATGGGGGGGAGCGCGGGGGTTTGGATGGCACAGGCCGGAGGGTCTCCATGTCATTCTGCCCGTGCTGAGACGAGGGGTGAGGTGACAGGGGGTCTGGTTTCCAGGGCCAGCATTCGCTTTGAGTTACCCACGAGCTTCCTGCTTTGTGCAAGTGTGCTCACCCCAGCAGGTGATGCTTAGCATATACCCACATGTCGTCTTTTTTCTGACTTCTCAAGCTCTCCAGAGACATCCCGGGCATCTGAAATTTGGGGGCTACTGTTGAGGGTGCACAGTTGATGGCCAGCCCATATGGCAGGAAGTATCTCTGAAGCATCCATTTATAGCTACACTCAGAAGCTCTAGGCAAGACCAAGGGAGAGAGGCAGCCGGCCGGGGCCTGCATTCCCAGGACCATGGTCAGAAGACAACGGAGAGCCTCCCCGAGTCTACCACTGCCTCCTCGGGCCCAGGAGGTGTGAGGAAACCTGAACCCCCCCACCCGACCCAGGCACCGGGCAGCTTTACTGTGGAGACGGCGGAGGGTGCAGCAGAGGGGCGGGGCTGAGGCTCATTCCTGGTTGTGAGTTTGAGAAAATGCACTTGACCTAACGTGACTCTGCTTCCTCCTCCAGATGCGAGAGCTAAGAATGGGGTGTGTGGCACCAAACGATGCCTGCGACGCAGTCACCACGGAGCAAACACTGGCTCTAACTGTCACCAACATCACTCGTGTTCACAGCGCTGGAGATAGGACACTTTATTCCCAAGTGGCTTGGATTACTGCAGGTTTATTGAGTCGATCTGCCTTCCTATGGCTACAGCACACAGGGGCTCAGGTTGGTGGACCGTGAAGTAAAACAATATAGGAAATAAGACTCTGGGGGAGCCCTGTCATTTCAAAACAGCATTCCCTTTGCCCTGGTTCTCCATGAGGTCAGACTGGGCTGGGCCCCCAATCTAGTGTATTGTTGGCTCGGTGGGGGAAGCCAGGGTTGGCCACAGCAGTGTTCTGTGTTCACCAGACAGGTACTTCTGACACAGTACTCCTAACAGAGGAAGACACCTTGAAGACCCATTTTACGAAAGAGGAGAATAGGATTGGGGAGGGGGTGAGGACTGTCCCAGGCACACAGCTGTTACCAGCCCACTGAGCTGGCCCAGCCCTCGGCTTCTCTGCCCTGGCTTCTTGGGGACCACGGACAGAAGAGGAGCCAGGGCAGGTGGGAACCCCAGCTTCCTTCCTTGGTCCTCCAGGTGGGTCCCTGGCAGTCCTCAGAGAACGTGCCTGGATCCTCTCAGGAGTCCTGGCCTTCTCGAATCCAGACTCCCAGGTCCACGTCATCCAGTCAGCGCTGGAGACCTGTGTCACCCACCCACCCCAAATTTATCTGGGCTCCCGGGAGCTATTGGCCTCCTACACAGCCCATCCTAGCAAGCGGGGGTGACTGTGAGGACACCTTCCCCTGCTTTGAGCTAAGTTTCTGCCGTAACTTCTACTCACCAGTACAGTTTGGTCGCCTCAGGATACAGCAGAAACTGAAACTACTTTCTCCAGGTGACACACGTCACCCGCTGTCCCGAGCAGCAGGGCAGCTGGCACTCTGCTTCCTGCACCGCGGTGACCTGAGAGCCCGTCTCGTCACTCAGAGTTTCCTCACTCCTCATGGAGGTGCCACAGCCACCGCAGCTCCTGCCGCTCCCTGCTCGTCCCGCAGCCGCTCCGGAGTCCACCGCTCCCGCTAGGACATGCTCGCGAGGGTCTCTCCTCCCCGGGCCACCAGTGCCGCAGGGCGGACCCGCATTCGCAGCTTCGCCACCTTCTTGGGCAGCGTCCATCTGAGGGTGTCTGGTCCTTGTCTCCTGGCCACCTCTCCTGTGAACCCCAGAGTCTCAGACGTGTCTGCCCAGCAGACGTCTCCTCCCGGGGAGCTCGCAGGGGGCCGCCTGGCAGTCAGAGGGGTCACGGCCTCTGTCGGATCTGCAGTGACTTCGAGGCGGCCCCTCGGGGGTTCCTCCACATTCTGGCTTTGCAGTAAGCCCTACTCTCCTTCCCTCAGCAGCCCCACACCCCCTTCCTTCCACCCAGCGGCAGTCAGGGAAGCAGGGCACCCTCAGGGGTGGGAGAACACCCCTCGCCTTCAGCCTCTAGTTCTCGGCCTCCTCCACCTGGGCCAGAGCACGGGAAGGGGCTTCGCGCGGAAGCAGCTGGGAGAGAGCCCAGCGCACAGCGCGCGTCGGGAGAGATGCTCGCAGCTGCAGTGAAGCCTGGGGCACCAGCTCCACACGGAACGTGTGAGTCCAGCAGCCCAAAGCCACGCCGGTGCCAGTGTCGCCCCCGCCTCACTGGCAGACGCCAGGCGCGGGCCATGCCCTTTGCCTCGGCCCCCCACCCTCTCATCACGAGGCAGCTGCCCCTCCCAACACACGGAGCCAAAGGGAGGAGCCAGCCTGTCCTAGGAACCCTCGTAAAAACCAAGGGACACTTTTGCGGGCATGATCAGCGCATGCCCCTTCCAGACTGATCGACCAGAATTAGGTCACACTCTCATTCCTAAACTGAAGCCACTAGGAGGGTGAGGCTATAGCCAGAGCCTGGAACCTACCACCCAAAGCCCAGAAGGACTTCCTGTCCTCAGAGCGGCGGTGTCAGGCACACAGCAGCCCAGCCCCTCTGTCCCTGCAGTGCGTGTGTGCCGCAGACCCACGTAGCAAGGTGGGGGGAGGGGTTCAGGTGTCGAGATCTGCAGAAAGTTGGGAAGTTTGGTTAAACAACTCAGCTAACCCAAGAAAAAAATACAGTTATGTAGACTCGAAAACCTGGTCTTAAAGGTCACGTGTGCACAGAGGGTCTTAAACTCATTCAGGGAGGAGGATGGAAAACAATGGTAGTCTATGGAATGCGGTGAAATCTTGATCAAATTATTCAATCAAATTAGAACCATTTTAAGATTTAAAAAATCTATATGCATCCTCATCAAAGAAAACAGCAAGACAAAGGATGCCTCAGTTTCCCTGGTTATTAGAATTTGGTCTGGGTTTTACTTTGACTTAGTTTGTTTGGTTGTTTTGTTGTCTATTCTACACAAAAAAGGGGTAAAGAGCCTCGGCTGTGTGGCTCAGCTGGTTGAGCATCGACCCATGTACCAGAAGTCACCGGTTCCATTTCCCGTTGGGGCACGTACCTGCTTAATGGATTCGATCCCCAGTTGGGGTGTGTACGGGAGGCAACTGATCCCCGTTTCCCCCTTGCATTGATGTATTTTCTCTTTTTCTCTCTCCCTCTCCCTTCCTCTCTAAAATAATCAATGAAAACATTAATAAAAATCAATGAAAACAATGTAAAGATTTCAGAAAATGCCTGGGAAAAAGCTAAAACTTGATATCATTCCATCTCTTACATAAATTCGTAAATTAAGAATTAGTGAAAGCCCACAAATGCCAAACTCTAGAAGCCGGGCTTCTTGGCACAGCTCTCGGAACATGGTTTAAGAACCCAATCCAGCCAAGCCCTCCATTTATTCTCTGCAGGTTACTGAGGCTCACAAATATCTTTGTGTTTCCCAAGGTCACCAGTTAATTATTGTCATAGCAACTGCCCTCCCAAAGAATCACAGTGATTTCCCAAATCACATGTCCAGAGACCTGTCAGGAGTAAAGAAAGGTCCCCACCTGACGTGGGTTTCAGCTCAGTATGCCTGGCCAGAATCCAAACCTGCCACACACTCAAAGCTTCCGGATCCACCTATATTCAGAAAAACATAACCTTAGAACTCATTTCCAAAGTTGTTTCTGCTGGTGATTGAAAAACACATCCTCCTGCCCTGCCAGTGTGGCTCAGAGGATTGAGCATCGTCCCAGGGACTGGGAGGTCCCAGTTCGATTCCCGATCAGGCACACGCCTGGGTTTTGGGGTCAATCCCAGTGGGGTGCATGCAGGAGGCAGCCCATCAATGTTTCTATCTCTCTCTCCCTTCCTCTCTCTCTAAGAAATCAATAAAACATATTTTAAAAAACAAACAAATAAAAAGACACATCCTCTCTCCCACATGTGCACAAAGGGACCTGCGTGCATGCTGTCCTCTCCAGACACTGCCGGCCCTGCCTGCCAGCCTGAGGTCCAGGTTCACCCATCTCTGAGCTGCCCAGGAAGGACGAGCCTGGGCTGGCTCCTTGGCAGGCTGCCTCCTCCCAGCCAGAAACAGTTAATTGCCAGCTCCGGGCTGCCTGCCTCCAGCCCAGCCCTAATCGGCCTGATCTCAGGCTGCCACTGGGGCCATGGCAGCTGCTGCAAGTAGTGGAGACATTTCTCCAAGGTAATGATTAAGCTGGGTGCCTATCAAGGGCGCAGGCAGCCAAGCCAGGAAGGTGAGCCCTGTTCACACCTCAGCCAGGCTGCGGTGGCTGGGACTGGTTTGGGAAGGCAGGGCCCCAGGGCACAAGGGCCCTGAGCCGGCAGCCGCCGCCTCCCACTGTATGTGGGGCAGCTGAGAGCATCTCAGAGCCTCCCTCCGCTGCCGACCCTGCAGGGACCCTGCCCTTGCCCCCAGCACCATGAAGCTGCAGGTGTTCTGGACTGGGCTGGAATACACCTGCCGGCTCCTGGGCATCACCACCGCTGCAGGTAAGATCACCTCCCTGCTGCAGTCGTCTACACATGGGGTAGAGCAGACAGGGCTGCACGAAAGGTGGAATCAGCTGGTCAGGGCTGGGCAGACACATCTGACCACATCTGCCCTTCACTTTTCTTCCCAAGACCCCAAGAAACTGTGTTCTGTGGGCAGCAGCGGGCAGTGGGGTAAGCTTGGCCTGGGAACCGAAGGGCCTTGGGAGCCCTCAGACTCCTCATCTTCTAAATGAGAGGGGGCTCTGCCCCACTCCCAGAGGGCTGCTGCAGAGTGGGGCCTGGGCTGAAGGGGGAGGTGTCAGCTGCGCCTCACTGTAGAGCGTGGAAATGGTCAACAGAGCACATCTGGCTTCATTCAAACCACAGCCGCTATCGCGCAGAGTTCCCAGCACTCGGGCGGCTGTGCTGGAGGGCTGGCCAGAGAGAGCTTGGGCTTCCCTTAATGCACTGAGTGATGGGGAGGATGGTTCCCGTGATTTCCAGTAATGCACTGAGTGCTGGGGAGGATGGTTCCCGTGGCCTCCCTTAATGCCCTTGGGATAGGGGAGGATGGTCCTGGTGCTGGACTCCTCTCCCTCGCCTGCCTGATCCGGGGCTGCTCCTGCTGGGAGGACAGGCAGAGCAGGAGCAGAACAAGAACCGTCCCGACCCTGAGTGCTGCCTGCTCAGCTCCCCATGCGAACCTTGGCCAGGATCTGTGGGGCGATGAGAAGGCAGCATTCTGAGCTCTTGGCTCTGGGCCTCACTGTCCCTTAGGGACCAAGAGGGGACACCCACTGCTCATCAAGTCTTTTCTGCCACTAGACTAAATCATATGCGTGGATCTTGGTGAACAGGAAATGTCTCCCAGCTCAGACTCACACAGTGCTGCTCCCAGCCTCAGCCTTGTCACTTGTCAGTGTGTGACCTTGGGAGAGCCCTCCGGGCCCTCTGGAACTGAGCTTTCTGGTCTGTACAATGGACATAACTGGAGTTGCTGGCCAGGTGTTTTGGAGGATCAAGGATGCATAAACTGATCATAGCTAGCTGGAACTGGGGATAAAAACCCCTTGGGAGAAGCCCCATGACATGCTGCAGAGCTCAGGGGTCCCCATCATTCCCAGGCACCGGGCCAGGCTCACTGGTAGACTGGCCAGTGAGCTCTACAGCATGTAGGCCCTGAGTTAGCACAGAAAAGGCTGTTTGAGATTATCTTATCCCACCCTCCTGTTCTAAAACGCAGCATCTGAGCTCAAATAGGGGCAATGACCTTACCCAAGGTTACATTGCAGGTCAGAGGGACAGCCAGCCTGGAGCCCTGGTGCCTTGACTTTCGAAAAGGCCACGACGTAGCCAAAGTGCTCTCTGCTTCCCAGGGTAGGAAGCCCATCCAGCAGACACCAAGAGGGGTCCGGAATTGCTCTGTTGAGAACCTGATTACATGAGCGGGTAGAGAGCCAGCTCCAGACTCTGTGCAGCCGCCTGTCCCCTACCCTCTGGAATGACTGCCAAGGCCTCCACCTGGCCTTCCGGGAGGGAAGTCAGCCTAAATAGGTCTCCAGTCTGTGTTCAAGTTCTGGTCTACAACCTGTTGATCGTGACCCCACCCTAATTCTTGGAAGCCTTGGTTTCCAAATGTGAATGCACATCCCTTTGAGCTGTCAGATGTCACAGTGACAGCCCCCTGCCACACTCTGCCCAGAGCTGAGCCTGCTTCCTGGCTAGAAACTATTTTAAGATGTGTCTATCCTTCTAATGGATTAGCTAGACAGTCTGAACGTCTGGTTTATCTCCGCGGCACACGCACGCGCACACGTGCACACACGCGCACACACGCGCACACGACTGCTCCTTTCAGCCACAGCCTCCTGCCTGCCGGAGGGCAGCCGCGCATGCTGAGGACAGGCCTCCGCTTGGTTTTGATACAGGACCCAGGCTAAACGTGGGCCACGAATTGCCTCCTACTGGCCAAGCTCTTCAATCATCTTGCTGGTTCTAAAGTGCTAGGAGCGAGTGGGAAGCCAGAAAGACGGGCTTTGGTGCTCTTGGGCCTGAGGTTCCATCCGTGTCCCTGAACTCCTGGCCTGTTTCCAGTGCCTAAGACTTGGGCTTCATGTACAGGGCACTGCTGCTGGAGAGGAAATAAGGCTGGAGACAGAGGCTGCCAACCGCAGAAAGTCCAGGAGACCTACAGGAGCCCCACTGTGGGGAGGAGTGTGGCTCCCCAGAAGCTAGGAAAATCATGTGACCAAGGCCATCCAGCGCGTCACCTGCAGGGACCAAGCAGCACCTATCCACTGGCCTCGTCTCTGAAACCCCTTCCCCTCTGCAGGCAGGATCTGTGACTGTCAGCGGCTCCAAAGGTGCAAGACCCCAGGGACTCTACCAGGATGGCAATGCCCAGCAGCTGGACACAGCGTGCCCTGCACAGGTGCCTGAGCTCCTCCGTCCCTCTTCACCCAGGGCCCTGTGGATGAAGCCTTGTTAGGACACCCAGTGGTCCCGCAGACCATACTGCCCACCCCCACGCCCGGCCCATACCACAGAGTAGACGCAGACAGAGCATTGCTGCCACCACGTAAGAGTAAATAGGCCATGGACAGGCTGCACTCCTTCAAACGTGTTTTGGAAATTGGAAAATTCTCTTTCTCTGAATCAATCATACGGTTTCCAGGTCATCACAACCCATGCCTCCCACTAGTCTCACACTTAGCTGGCTTCACTCGGCACGGCCTCCCTGGCCAGAAAGGCTGTGTGTGTGTGTGTGTGTGTGCCTGTGTGTGCCTGCATCTGAGCGTGTGCATGTGTGTGTGTGTGCATGTGTGTACGTGTGCATGTGTACATGCAAGTGTGTGCACACTTGTGTGTGCACTTGTGTGTGTGTGTGCACACGTGTGTGCAGGCCTGTGGGTATGTCTGTGTGTGTGCCCATGTGTGTGTACATGTGTGCATGTGTGTGTGTGCACACATGTGTGTGTGTCCACATGCCTGTTAGGGAGACAGCCTCCGCTGCACCCAGGGAAGCAGGGCATATGGGAAACTGCACACAGACGCCCAGCACCTGCTGCTCACTCCTCAGAACCGGGCCCCACTGGGTCTGCCAGGAGAAGAGCTCCAGGAACCTCCACCTTGTGAGCTGTTCTCGCTGCAGACTGATTGTCGAGAGGAGGAGCCTGGGGGACGGATTGTCACTGAGGGGAGCACAGCAGCCCAGGGCTCCTCCCCTGCAAAGTGCGCGGGCCCATTCCTTTCCTGAGAAGACAACACTGGTTTCTCCATGAACCTCTGCCGTCCTTTTTACCCCTGACAGTGGCTCCCCACGAATTCCTCACCACTCCTGTGAGAGGCGTAATGGGAAGGGTCCCGTGTCAGGACATCTGAGGGTCCCCGACTTGGGTGCGGTGTGGAGGGAAGAGGGGAGACTCGCTTTCCCTGGCCCCGACCACTGGAGAAGGAGCTCTGTCCTCGGCCATGCCCTTGCCCACGGATGGGCACGGCCTCCCTAAAGGGGAGGCACCAGAAAACCTCTCTCGGCCCTTTGATGAGGCCCCTCACCTGTCCTCAGAGCAGAGGGGCTCAGGCTTGAGGACGCTCCCTGCCCACACTCAAGGGCATTTTTTTTTTTTACTCTTCCAGCCCTAACCTTGGGTATAACAGCTGACAGTGAACATTATTGTTTGAGCTTTTACTGTGAGCCAAACTCTGGGCTAGATGTTTTAATGCAGTATCTCCTTGCGTCCTCATAACTACCCTTTGGAGCTCTGTTATGCTCATCTTCATCCTCACTCTATGTGGGGAAACTGAGGCTCCGTGCAGTGAAGAAGTTTGTTCTAGTTCTCACAACCAGAAAGCAGGAGGCAAGATTTCAAGTCACGGTGGTCCACTCCTGAGACCTAACTCTTAATCAGTGTGCCCCTCCCCTAAATCAGGCCAAGGGACACATCTTCCCATGTCTTAGTGACCCCAGGATGCAGGATGCAAAACACATAGGAGGCACCAATGAGGCTGACTAGGGCCGCCCGCCCGTCCACCCGAGTGCCCCGCCATCAGTCAGCCCCGACAGGCAGGTGATGCTGGTGAGCTGGACACTGTCGCAGTGAAGCACAGCCAGGAAGGACCAGACCCCTCCCAGCTGTAAAGATGCTGAGATCTGGCACAGCTGCTCACTCTGGCTCTGAATGACGACATGCTCTGACTGGGACCCACGACCACCCTGCCAACCCAGTCCCAAACCTCACCCAGGGCCAAATCTGCACGCGTTTCAGGAGAGAACTGTCCCAGCGGGACCTTCCATTCACGACGTGCTCCAAAGTCATCACCTCGCTGAGCCCCACCGTCGCCCATGCAGGAGCTGGTTTATTCTGGGTTCCGAGCCGTTAGCCTCTGCTCCACGCTGAGGACAGGGCCATGTGCTGAGCAGCCCCACGCCTGCTAGTCCACTTCAAATGCCTCGTTAATGTACATTCAGACAAAGGAGCAGAAGCCCAGCTGTTCCCGTTGTTTTTACAGCAGGTGCATAGTTTGACCTTAGCCCTATTCGAAGCCTTTGGAAACAATCCAGTGCATCCGAGGCAGCCACCCTGGGCTGTCCAGGCTTGTTTTCACCCTTAAATGTCTGTCCCCGTGACCGCTCCTGCCAGGTAAGGGAGCTTCATGCGCGCCACACGTCCACAGCTGGGTTTATTAACCACATGTTCTCAGATCCTCCAAGTGGGTGTTGACTTTTTTTTTCCAATCTTACTGTCTCAACGAGTAAATAAAAAGTCCCCACCTGTGATCCACCCTCCTACCCCTGACAGATAATGTGATTTGGCTCAAGCATCTCTTTCTTTATTCCTTTATGCCTGTGCCCTCTTCTCGCGTTGGGACCAGGAAACCGAGAACTCCGCGTAAGGTCCATTCAGTCCACACACATTTGTCCCTGCTTTGAGCAACGCAGACACATGCATTCGAACGGCATGACCTCCCCCGAGGGAAGCATCTGGGGGCCAAGGAGACAGGCTGGAGCATGCACACCC